TCACCTCAATCTTTGGAAGGTGTTTCATCTCCGATTTGGGTTCGTCTTCCTCACTTACTTCTTCATTGTTGGGATGAGTTCAATATCTCCAAAATTGTTTCTAGAATTGGGACCCCGTTACTTTTGGATGGCAACATGTTTAGATGGGGAAGGACAGAATTTGCAAGAGCATGCATTAGAGTTAATTTGAATTCCAAACTCCCTGCTGGTATTTGGGTAGAAGGATCGAATGGTAGATTTTTCCAAAAGTTTGAATACGAAAATCTATCATCTCTATGTTTCAAATGTGGTAGAATAGGGCATTTGGATTCAGTTTGTCCTAATGTTGAGGAGATCCCTTCTAGCTCAAACCATAATGATAATCTTTATGGTCCTTGGATGCAAGTTAAGTTCAAACAAAAGAAAAAACCTGTGTTCAAAACTAAGGTTTTGTCAGGAAAAAATTATGGATCGGTTTGCACAAATGAAGATTTAGTACTTGCTGAAAAAAGAAATAATTTTCATCCATTGGTAGATGGGAACTAGCTTGAAGTAATATCTGATCCATTGAAAAGTGCAGAATTCAAACGGCTAAACCAGGAAGATGCTGAATCCACGGTAGAAGAAGATGGGACGGTTATCCAGAATTTAAATTTGAATTCATTTCAGACTGAATCTCGAATTTCAGAGGCTGTTGAGGATGTTACAGGATCTCAATATTCAATTTTTGAATTCCCTCAAAGCAAGGAGGTGGATAAGGCTATTGAAGAGATGCAGCCGGATTTTTCTCCTGCAAATCCACCTGGACCTATGTCTGTTTTTCAAACGGACTATCCTAGTATTGCTGAGAACTTGAAACTTCAACCGGACTTAACTCCATCTAAGCCAGCTGGAATTAAGACTGTTATTCAAACAGACATTCCTAAGTTTAATGAAAATTTGAACTTTCAAATATCATTAACTATGGAAGATGTTATGGAAAAGGTTGAGAAGGAACAAGTCACGGAATTGAATCCTGGTCTGGCTGAAATTGAAAAACCAGTAACTTGTTGGGCGGACCTAGTGGAAGTGGAATGCAATAATCTTCCACATAATTTGGAGCCTGTTAATATGGAAGATCATAATGTTGAGTCTAGTAATTAGGTTATTAAGCCTAAGTGAATGTCCCAAGGCTACCAAGACGGGGGTGAATTGGTAGTTTAAAAAAATTTTAAGTCCCCTTTTAGAAAATTATTGAACCAAAATAAAATATCTTTTAAATTTTGTAGAAAAATGTTTTTCAACCACAGAGTTTTTTAAACTGAAATATAAAGTGCGGAAACGTAAAAAACAGTTCAAGTAATGACACCCAGATTTAAGTGTCTCGTCCTAACCAGACCTACACCACTCCCCAGAGGCACCTATGAAATGCACTAAACCAATAGTGACTCCCTTTGCACCCACGCAAGGCGGGAGCTAGACCTTTCAACACCCCTGCAGAATCGTCTACACAACCCGTGCGCACAAAACCGTCCCGTTCTACACAATACCCAGTGGAAGACACCGTCCCACACGTGCGAACTCTTCACACCTCTCCTAGTGTGGGCAGAAACCTTCCGTCCTTCACACTCCCCTAGTGTGGCGAGAACCCTTCCTGTCACACTCTCCAAATGTCGCGGAAACCAAGATCTCCTTGCAGATCTTCCACAAGATCTAGAAGGAAGAAAAAGAAAAAAAGAAAGTGGGGGGGAAGTAAAATACCCAAGTTCACAAGTAGAGACTCACCTTTGAACTCCAAGCTAAGCCTCTCGGCTCATGAGAATCCTCCCTATGATGCTCCCCACTCTCCCTGCTATTCTACCAGAGCACGAAGATCAATGACAAAGGAATGGGGCAGTCTAATGGACATTAATACAAAAACAAGAAAACCGCCAACATGCATATCAATCTGTAACGCTGACCGTCTACGATCGGAAGATCTCGACATCTAAACGATGCTGAAACGACCCTATTATGAAATAATGTGAACGAAAATCTACACGATACGTCTGTACGAACTAGTCGTCATAGAACTATTACAAGGTCGTTCTAAAACCTGCAAAACACTTCCTAACAAGTCGTGTAATCGAATTGGATCGAAATCCCTGATGAAAATTTTACAGAGGACACGACTCCTCCTGGATCGATTCTTTACTTCGTTGGATGAAAATATTCCAAAAGATACAATCGCAAGAAAATTCTAAATTCGCTGGGAAAACCAAAATCCAGCGAGTCGTCTGATTTAATTTCGTCTGGACGCGAAATATTCCAGAACAGTCGCCACGGACGATATTTAATTTCGATGACGAAAATTTTCCAAGAGAAATACGTGACATAATATTAATCGTCTGGACGAATTAGACTTAGACAACACAATCCGACGCAAAGTTCCTATTCTCCATAGCTCTACTAGGAGAAACTGTCTGATCAGTTCATAGGCTACAATATAATTTATATGTCTCCTCATGTGTGTTGTATGTTTTTATCCAAACAATCACCCTTCAATTTATTACAAAGACAAATAACTCATTTGAGGTACCAGCGAATTATTTAAGTCATGAATACTGGATCTTTTTTCCTGAATTTAGAACACGGCTAAATACAATCTCTCCAAATTCAGGAGAACTAAATTGAACAATTGTTTGAATCACAAAAATCAAAATTGCAAAATGAAAGCCCCAAAATTGCAATAGGCAACCATCTAAACTAATTCAAATGAATCCCAAAAGCACCACAAACTGAATGACTGAAATTTGAGGAACAAACTAAATGTCGGAACCATCAAACCAACCTGGCCGGATATATGGTTAAAGGGTAATACCACTCATACTTCCCATCTATGAGTCTTCTCTCCAGCCACAATTATGCTATATGAAATTCAAAAACAAAATTTTAAATAGACAAAAACATTTTAAGATAAGAATCCACCGGTCAAAGCAGTTTAAACACACACATTGGCCGTGACACATCGCGAGAAGAAAAGACTGAACACAAAAGAGAAGATCGTCGAAATCTTCGCCCTTTGTTCTTAATATGAAGAAGGATCCTATGATAAACAACAAATTTGGAATTAACTTGGCAGAGAATCATGATCTCTAAAGGTATGAAAGATAACCAAACTTGATATCTTGAATTGATTTTTCTTCATCTTTAATTTATTTTTCATTTAACTTGTACTTTAAACTTTGCCTAAATATGAATCTTTACTATTTCTTATTCTCTAACGATAGGAACTCTGGATACTAATCAACCATCAGGTTGTTATATTTTGTACCCTTGCATCTCAACAGTTTCAAAATAGGAGATAGTGGATTTCATAAATTTATAAGAAGTTAAATTAACAAAGTTAATTTAATAAGGTCCTTCTCTCTGTTGATGAAGGTACCAAATGCTTATTGCCTATTGGTATTAGGTTAACTCTTTTTTCATTTTAATGCATTGTTTGCACTTCTCAAAGAATTACACTCTTTTTTATTGTCTCTATCTTATTTAAACCACTAATAATAATAAAGCTCACATAATTCACTAAATTAAAGTCACATATTCAGAAATGAACTTCAATCACAACAAAATAATTCAGAAGACTGCAAGTACAAAATGTTACCCTGCAAGAAGATATTGTAAACATTGAGTTCCTCATGAAATGAACCCTGTTAATATGCTACGGTCATTTAGGGTCCATTATATGACCAATCTATTTTTCTAGGCATTTGAGAAGTCTTAGGCGATGCCATGAGACCAATAAGCGCACCCAACATTTAAGTTGTTCAATTCTTATGCCAACTGTTTAAATATGGTATTAATCTCACTGAATATATATATATAAAGAGAGAGAGAATTTATTTCGACTAGAAAAATGTCCATTCTTATTATTTTCAATCGTTAGATAAACAATTAAAAGAATTGAATTATTTGTTCATTTAGAACATCAACAACTATAATTTTAATTATAGGCGGAGTTTTTAAAATCATAAAGGGAGATTCCTCCTTACTTTTGGATTTAAATGCATTCATTGGTATAGTAGTTATTTGGAACTCTTTGCATTCCGTTCTTTGAAAATTCAAAAGTGGATGTTTGAATCAAGAGGCATCATATTGTAGGGGACAATATCAATATCATTAAATATCTGCAAGGTTCAGTTGGCAAGGTGGCTCAGAATGTACATATTAGCGAGGTGGAATGACTTGTCTTTTCTTAAGGATTTTGATAATCTTTTATTTAATTTTTCAAATAGAAGTTATAATAAGTTAGTTGATTATTGTGTTAACCTTGCTTTAGATGGTGATTTTTTCTGGGATGAGTTAAGTTGTATTAAAGTTTCTCCTCCTTTTCTTTCTTTGTTAAAGGAGGATTGTGATAGACTTTTTGTCACTTAGTAGGTTGTAATAGGATTATTTTTTCTTTAATGCTAATTGCATTTTATTAAAAAAAAACTATAATTTAATAGAACATACACTTGCTATTGTATCATCAATTTAGACATTTTTATTATCCAATTTTTATAAATTAGGACAATGAACTTTATCCTCAAGTATATATTTGATGATTTTTAGGTAATAATAATTTTTAAATAGTTTAGTTTGACTTGTAAAATCAATACATTTCTACATATTATCTAACGTGGCATATAATGGATGAAAGCACAACGAGGAAATTTTAATTATTTTATAATATATAATACAGCTAAAAGAAAAACTTTAAGTTTTTTTTTTTTTTGTACAAAGCCGTAAAAATTTTAACCAAGATAATATAAAAAGAATGAAAATGATATCATTAAATAAAATATATAAACTATTTTTTATGTTTAATTTTGATACTTCCCCACCCTCTTTTTCTTTGCAGCATATACGCAAAAGAAATCAATAAATTTTCTCTTAACTTTCTGACCTTTCTGTAATTCCGTTACAAAGAAACAGCAGAGAGATCAGCTCCGCCAACTAGCCATCGCTCATAACAAAAAAGTTGATGGCGACCTCAGACATATTTCAACGTTCAGTAGCAGTTAGTAGCCCGGATAAATTGGTGGTGGCGGAGATGCGTAGCTATATCCACCGACGGGTGGGAGAATAATATCAGGGAATTCCGGAGGCGACAAAGCTGGCGGTGGTGGTGAGATGATTGGCTGCGGTGGAGGCGATGCTAATGGTGGACGTGGCGGGGAGTAGACATATTGAGGAGGTGAGCGACTTGGTGGTGGCGGAGGAGAGTGGACTGGTGCTGGTGGAGGTGAGTATACCGGTTGGGGTGGAAAGTGAATCGGAGGTGGTGGGGAGTGGACAACTGATGGGGGTGGGGGTGAGTACACCGGTGGGGGTGGTGGGGGTGGTGAGTACACTGGAGGTGGCGGGGAGTTGACAACAGCTGGCGGTGTTAGTGAATGCACCGGAGGAGGCGGGGATTTGACCGTCGGCGGCGGTGGAGGAGAATGCACTGGTTGCGGAGGAGATGAGAACAAAGGGGGAGGTGTAGGTGGCGGTGAACTGGGTGGAGTCGGCGGCATGGAGATTGGTGGAGATGATATCTCCTCCGTAGGCAAAGGAGATGGAGCATCATCCACATGCGGCGGCGAGCTACTAACAGGCTTTGGTGCAGGTGTCGGTGATTGCGATGGAGATGGGGTTGGAGATGGGGCAGTCACCGGACTCGAGCTGGGCTCTGGCGAAGGTGTAGGTTTCTCCGGCGACAAAGTGGGGCTATCAGCCACGGGAGCGGGAGAAGGATTTACTGAAACCGGAGCTGGCGTTAGGTTCGCCGGAGAAGGCTTTGGCGTATCCGGCAAGGGAGCAATGGGCTTCGGGGTGGGTTTTGTACTGGAACCACCAGCGCACTTAGACTTGCTGCAGTCGACGGGCTTTCTTACTAAATGATCGCATTCCTTAGCCGTCTTCTGCCCAGGCCGATCGGCAATACAGTTGCCTTTGTCGTCAAAAACTACGCCTGGCCTTGAGATAGCTGAGCACTCAGGGGCATTGCCCTTGAAGAAATTAAAGGAGTAACTAAAATTCGTAAGTTTGGGCAGACGGCAAACCTCTGCGGGAACAACACCACTAAGTAAATTGCGACCCAGATTAATCTCTTCGACGCTGCTGAGGCCTGCGAAAGTCTTGGGCACAGAGCCAGTGAAGAAATTACCGCTGGCATCGAAAACAGTGAGACTAGCAAGCTTACCGATCTCCGGCGGTAGGCAGCCTGAGAGTTCGTTCCCAAGGAGGAGGATTTCATTAAGTTTTCCAGACATATTGCCTACACTCCTTGGGATGCACCCGATGAAATGGTTGTTGGCGAGGATGATAGCGGAAGCGGGAGAGCTGCCGAGGTTTTCCGGGATGGGAGAGTGGAAGCGGTTGTCGTTGAGAAATACCGCATCGAGGGCCTTATCAAAGAGCTCGGCGGGGAGATGCCCCTCGAAGTCGTTGTACCGGAGATCAAGATACTTGAGAGCGGGCATGGAGAGAACAGCGGAGGGGAAAGGACCGACGAACCGGTTGTTGCTGGCGTCCAACTCGTGGAGGAGGGAGAGGCGGGATAAGCTCTTGGGAATGATGCCGCAGAAGCGATTGGAGTTTATGTGGATAAGTGCGACGTCGGTGAGGAGGCCAAGCTCGGCGGGGAGGTAGCCAGCTAGGTCGGCGCCATTGAGGTCGACGCCAGCGACGACGTCGACGAAGGGGTCATCGAGGGCGGGGGCGCAGAAGACGCCGGTGTAGTTGCAGACATCGGGTCCAACCCAATTGCCTGTTGTGTTGAAGGGGTCAGAATATAAGGCTTGTTTCCAGGCGTGAAGGGCGACGTAGGCGTGGCGGAGGCGAGTATTTTTTATGTGGACGTCGATCTTGACGTTGAACTCAAAGTCTTCAGGGAGGTCTCCGTTTTCCGGGAGGTTATGAAGCTGGCGGCGGGCGATGGTGGCGGGTTCGAAGTTGGGAATTGAGGAGGCAACGGCGAGAAGAATACAGAAGAGGAGGAGGAGGAGAGGAAGGTGGAGGGATGGGAAGCAGTCCAAGGCCTGCATCGCGCATGAACCCTCGGAGGGGCCTTAGAGAGAATGGAGGATAACGAAAGAAGAGTAGGGGAGGTTATAGTGGGGAATGGGGAAACAGAAGCCATAGGCGGGCGGCTGTGAGAGCTTTACGGAGGAGAAGGTGCCTAGGCCAATGTTTTGTTCCGGTGATGCAACAAATTCGGGGTGAAGCTGGATCCGTAGTTATTTATTCATTTTGTTTTTATTCTCATACGGGAATGAATTATTTATTTATTTACATTCTTCACTATTTAAAATAGGCACATAACTATATATAGTAGGTTAAGATTTGATCGAACCACTATAAAATCTGGTGTGTTCGTCTGATTTTACTTTTTTGCACATCATCTTCATTATAACTGATTAATAATTTTTTGAGATATATGTTCTATTTTGATATTTATAATTTTATCATCACTATTTTTCAAGTCATATTTAATTTGTTAGCTCCCACATACAAAAATTAAAATTGTTTATTTCTAAGTGTTTTGAAAAATCCAAAAAAAAAAAAAAATACTCTCGCTTAGGATTTTTTTAAAAGCACCAATTCACCCTCCTCTTGGTGTATCTCATACTTTCAAAATGGAACAATTATAAAGTACTAGGTGATAACTATTCTATCACATTCCTTACTTTTCAATTTTAATAAAGATAAAGGAATGTTATTGTCAGCTACATTTTCCCATGGAAAATCACTTAATACTACATAAGTGGCACCCAAATCTACCACATTAATACATTCTTTAGAAACATAATGAAAACAACTTTCTTTAACTCCTTAAGAAAAGCTAAATCCATATCCTAATTTACTTTGCATTGCCAATTGATCATCTCCACAAATTTTTAAAGCATCTTCTTATTATTAACACTATAACCTTCAATTATATTGCCTTTCTTATTATATATTCATTCTTAGATCATATCCCTGAGAGAAATTCCTACCAACAACACCACTTAGGTCAAGTCATAATGAATAATTTATTTACCATAAGCTAGTGAAAATCTACATTTATGATTCCTTATTAATCTAGCTAAGGTTGATTTGATTATAACAGTGATGCATCCACATTTAATTTTATCCATTCAGGAGGTGGAGGATGCCAATTTTTATGATTCAACACTTTGAGGTGGTTAACATCCTAAATCTCTAGAATATGATATAATTAAGGTTGAATACATTAGATAGGTTGAACATGTAAAATACTTACTAAAGAGGAAAACATGTGCTTACCATATTTACAAGCATTTCTAGCTCTCCGAGATTGATACTCAACAGAGCACTACATCCTGACCATACCAGGATAAGTTTATGACTTCATTTCCATCTCCTTCATGATGTCTAAAAACTTTTAAAAAATTGATATATAAAATTGATATATAAAATCCTTAGTAAATAAATCTTGCAATAATATCTTTAAGTTTCCACACAATAAAATAGGTTTAATGTCTTCAATTAGATTGCATCCTCTTCGACATAAATTAAGTTCTTACAACCTTCTATACACCAGCCAAGCATTTATGGGAAAAGCATTCCTACTTATTTTTCACCAAAACAACAACTCCCTGGGCATTAATTTCCACCTCCTCATCCACTTCAAATTGACACTTGAAGATACATTACAAAATAAATAAAATTCAAAAGCCAAATCTGTAACTGATCTACCAAAATTCCCCTAAATTAGTTTTGTTTGATCTTTTAAGATGTTTGAGTAAATAGGGATTCTTTTGCTCTCCAAAATGGTTTTAAGTTCTGTAACATTCCACCCCTCATCTTTTTCTAGTAATTGAGCAACTGTCAAACCTTGTAAATTCATAAAATTTCAGTGAGTAAGCCACCTTTCCAGCTTTCTATTCAAGATCCAAACATCTTATAGAACACTGACATTTAACCAATTAACCAATTTTCATCTTATTAATAGCTTCAGTTACTTATCTCCCTCTACTAAAATGTGTGCACTGCTAAAGTTCCTCTCTTAACTTCTCCTCTATATACATCCTTTTGATACTTGGTAATGATGTTCCTACCCAGCAATGAATATGGATTTTAAAGAAACTCTTCCATGCTAATCGAGCCTTTAAAGGATCTTTGTCGCCGTGTAGGAGCTAATCATGTGGTTTGCTGCCACCTCTTAGGAGCTCTCCACGTGTCGAATTATCTCAGATAATAGTCATTTATTCCAAAGCACTAAAATAAACAATTTTGTTAGACGCCACAATATTGATTGGAGATACTCTATCATCTATTACCCTCGGGAAAATAAATTGGAGGAGGCATTTAATTTTAAAGAAAACTTTAGACGATAATAAACATCAATGGCATGAGAAGTTGGTTGAAGCTTTATGGGCATATCGAACCACATATAGAACTCCAACTCAATCTACACCATATGCTTTAGTCTTTGGTGCTGATGATGATATTCCTTTGGAAGTACAGCTATTATCACTAAGAGTTGTAATAAACTATAAGATTACCTAAGATTAGAATGCTAAACTCTAGTTAGAAGAGCTCAAAGGTTTACAAAAGAAGTGTCTGTAAGCTTAAGAGAACCTTGAGTTGTATAAAGCTAAAATGATCCAGGCTCTAACAAAATAGTTCATCCAAGAACTTTCTAAGTAGGTGACTTGTTGCTTAGCTGATTGAAAGATATGAGTTAATTCGAGTCGATGTGGGAAGGTCTATTCATGGTGGAGAAAGTCTACCAAGAAGGATCTTATTAGCAGATAAATTATAAAAAAGATTGATGTATGTTGCCTATCAATGGATGATACCTTAAAAAGTATTATAATAGTTTATGTACTAAAAACTTTTTGCAATAAAATAAATCCTAAAATTTAAATTTCCAGTGTTGCAGAGGCAATATAAAATAAATTGGGTCCAAATGGAAAAACCAAGAAACTTACCTGTAATGGAGTTCAGAGGACTTGGTTCTAAATTTGCTCGTCTGGGAATTGATCTCCCATTTGAGTATTCAGCTTTCTCTAAAATCAATATTCCAGACAAAGTTTAAATTCACTATTTTGATAATCAATCAATAAGTCAGGTTCTAAATTCGCTCATCTAGGAATCAATCTCCTATTCAAGTATTTAGCTTTGTCTAAAAATCAATCTTCCATTCAAAGTTTAAATTCACATTTCTGATAATTGATCTATTGGTCAAGTTCTAAATTAGCTCATTTAAGAATCAATCTCCCATATGAGTATTAAATTTTGTCTAGAAATTGATCTTTCAATTGAAGATTAAATTCACCTTTCTAATAATTAGTCCATCAATCGGGTTTTAAATCCACTCATTTGGGAATCAATCTCCAGTTCGAGTATTTAGCTTTTTCTATAAAATGATATTACAGTTAAAGTTTAAATTCACCTTTTGGATAATCGATCTATAATTCAGGTTCTAAATTCACTCATTTAGCAAATGATCTCCCACTTGACTGTTCAACTTTATCTTGAAATTGATCTTCCAGTCAAAGTTTAAATTTACCTTTCTTATAATTGATCTATCAATTAGGTTCTAAATCCAGTCATTCAAGAATCGATCTCCCATTGAAGTATACAACTTTGTCTACAAAATAATCTTACAGACAAAGTTTGAATTCACATATCAAAAAATCGATCTATCAATCAAGTTCTAAATTCACCCATTTGGGAATCGATCTCCCTCTCAAGTAGTCAGCTTTAACTTAAAATTGATCATCCACTCAAAGTTTAAATTCACCTTTTGATAATCAAGCTATCGGTCAGGTTCTAAATTTTCTCATTTTGGAATCAATCTCCCACTTGAGCATTCAGCTTTCTTTGGAAATTAATCTTCCTGTCAAATTTTAAATTCACTTTTTTGATCATTTATATACCAGTCATGTTTTAAATTCACTCATTGGGAATTGAACTTCCACTCGAGTATTCAACATTATCTAGAAATTGATCTACTAGTAAAAGTTTAAATTTAAATCTTTGATAATCAATCTATCTATTAGGTTCTAAATTGACTCATTCGGGAATTGATCTCCCATCTAAGTATTCACCTTTATCTTGAAATTGATCTTCTAGTCAAAGTTTCAATTCACCATCCTAACAATCGATCTATCGGTCGGGTTCTGAATTTTGCTCATTTAGGAATCAATCTCACACTCAAGTATTCAGTTTTTTGTAGAAATTGATCTTTTAGTAAAGTTTAAATTTTCCTTTCTAATAATTGATCTATTGATCAGATTCTAAATTTGCTCATTTAGTAATCAATCTCCCACTCGAGTATTCAACTTTATCCAAAAATAGATCTTCATATCAATGTTTAATTTTACCTTCGCTATAATAGATCTATTAGTTAAGTTCTAAATCTACTCATTTAGGAATCGATCTCCCATCTTAATATTCATCTTTGTTTAGAATTTATCTTCCAGTCAAAGTTTATATTTACCTTCCCAATCATCGATTTATTAGTCAAGTTCTAAATTTCCTCGTTAGGGAATCGATCTTCCACTCAAGTATTAACTATTGTCTAGAAATTGATCTTCCAGGCAAAGTTTAAATTCACCTTTTCGGTAATTGATCTATTGGGCAGGTTCTAAATCCACTCATTTAGAAATTTATCCCTTGTATGAGAATTCATCTTTGTCTAGAAATTGATCTTCCAGTCAAAGTTTAAATCCACCTTTTCCAATAATTAATCTATTGGTTAGGTTTTAAATTTGCACACAACTCTCCTTGGCCTATTGGTTGAGAGCTTAGGCGCCCAACTAAGAGGTCCAGGGTTCGAGTCTATGTGTATGCGTTGTGTGTGTGAGTTTGCCTTAAACGACCTAAATGTCCCAAAAAAAAAAAAAGGTTTTAAATTTGCTAGTCATGGAATCAAACTCCTATAAGAGTATTCAGCATTATCTGAAAATTAATCTTCCAGTCAAAGTTGAATTATACCTTTTTTATTATTGATTATCAGTCATGTTCTATATTCACTCATTTGGGAATCAATCTCCTAGATGTCTAAGAATCACCT